GAGTGGACCATAGATATCTTTAACTGGATTATGTTTTTTATGAGTTTTAGACTATATCTTCTTTAACGATCTATTTGCGTGAAGAGTGCAGTGAAACGTTGTTGCTAGTTTAAGTGCTAGAGTGAATAGTCTAGAACTTTACCTGAATGTGCTTCAAGGCGAAATTTCGAGTTTGCTTGGCTTGAAAGATGATTGTAGGCTTTTCTTGGACCGTTTGAGTTTTCAGTTACCACCATATGATCTTTATCCCTAGTCAACCCCCTTTGATCATTTAACCTTTCTTTGTTGATAACCATGCCACAAGCTTTTACCCATTTTGAACATGATCTCTTCTTGGCACTCCAACCCTCCTAAGCACTCATATGTAGTAAGTGGCTTAAAGCCTAGGTTTTTTTGGGTGTGGGGAGTTCAAAAAACTAAAAGAGGTACCAAGGCATTAAAAAGAGAGAAAAGAAATTATCTCCATGAAACTGAATGAATGAAACAAAAGTAATGTGAACAAAAAAAAGAAGCTAAAAGAAGGACAAAAAGGGAGATCGATAAATTCAAGTGAAGCAAGTGCCTCTAGTACAAAAATCAAGGGAGAAAAAGAATGAAATTTTAAATAAAGAGTGATGGTAAGTCTCTCCAGCCTCCAAGAAGAACAAATACCTCTAAGGGTTCGACAAATATGAGCCAAGAGATGAGATGTGAAGTGCTTAAGTAGGGGTGTAATCATTTGTATCCCATATAGTATCCTACCCATAAGCCTTGATTACAACCAAAAAAGAAGTCATATTTGATTTCGAACCGAGTATGCTTACATTAGTGGAGATTTACATGAGGGGAAAGTCTATGGTACTTGAAGTTTAACTTGTGTCATTCCTTTGTGAGAAAAGAGTGAAACCTTGTTGCACCGGATATTGAGTGTTGAAACTTGAAGTAAGCATTGTAAATGGGAGGTAGAGGAGGAAGAGTCTGGAGTCCACTACGATTTACATAAACAAACAATAATCTTTTATGAATGAAGTCAACTCTTGAGGCTCAAATGCCATACTAGAATTGCATGAGATGAGCAAGTGGCACCTTTTTTAAAAAATTTACACCTTTGTTTAACTTGAAAATAGTATTAACAATTATATTTGATTTTGTGGTTCTAAAAATATATTGTCTATTTCAATACTAGTTGTTAGGCAATAGATGCTAAGTGTAATTGAGCAAAGAATGATAAGCAAAACAGTGCGGTCATAGGATTGAGGGCCTTGAGCTCCGTGATATAGGACCTCAAGGGAAGCTTTTAAAGGTTGATAGTGGGCAATAAATGAAGAACAATAAATTAACAATAAATAAATAAGTAATAAATCTGCAGGGTAATTGTTTAGCACTTTTAGGCAAGAAAAATAGAGAATGTTCTATTGTATTTTATCTTACATGTATCCTACAAAATGACAAGGGTCCCCTTTATATAGGAAGGGCGAATCCTGTCACGACCCTAGTTCACCAACCGTAAACATGTCATGACGGCACCTAGTCTCCGTGACCAGGTAAGCCTAACACTTGCGGAAACATAATAATTGCGAAAAAATAGAATACCATATTTAATTATCTAAAAAGGAAATTGTACTGAATGTCGCTCGGCATATACGACTCAATATCTCAAGACTAAAACAATCCCAAAACCTGGAAACAAACGGGAAAACACAGGCTACAGAAATGTATAGTGAGGCTCCAAACTCCAGAATATCTAACAAACGGAAGGAAAGAGAACTAAGTACTAAATATAGAATAAAGAGGGAGACTCGTCGGTCTGCGGACGCAGCAGATCTACCTCGAAGTCTCCATAGTCCTCCTGCCTCACTGATAGTGCGCCTGAGTAGAGGTACCTGGATCTGCACATGAAAAACATGCGCAGAAGAGGCGTGAGTACACCACAGCAGTACTTAGTAAGTACCAAGCCTAACCTCGGTTGGGTAGTGACAAGGAAGGTCAGGGCCCTACTGAGGTTATATAAAATATAAAGATGGCAGGATAAGATAAGCAGTGCAATTGAGAACCTACAGTAAGAATCTATGCAGGATAATAAGAGTACAATAACGGAAACAATGATGAAAGCAAACCATAAGGAAAGTAACCGGGGATCTCTTAGTATCCTCGGCATGTACTAGGGATCTCTTGGTATCCCGAGGATCTTTCGGTATTCTCAATATAAGCCAGGGATCTCTTGGTATCCCGAGGATCTCTCGGTATCCTCAATATATGTGCGGGGGATCTCCTGGGAATTTAACCCGTATTCCCAAAGTAAATGTGCAGGGGGAATCTCCCGGGAATCTAACTCGTAGTCCCAAAGTAAATGTGCAGGGGGAATCTCCT